ACACCTTTGTTCGACGACATGGCCGGTTCACCGGGCTATTGACACACACGTGCTTGTCGAAGAGGCCTCACTTGCTTTGTTGATAATGGAGAGCACGTCATGCCCATGTCGGCTCGCCTGGTCGACATGACCTTGTGGACTTTGTCGATTTTGGTGTTTCACGAAGCTCGTCCGTTGGTGCAAAGCTCAGCGAACTAGATTCCCTTTGACAACACCTTCTCAGTCGCGCCACGATAGCTAGCTGCTTCTTATGGACGATACGCGGGACACCCTCGACGGATGACACCCGAAGACACCGCCCAGCCAGGGACAGTACCTGATCAGCCCCGATCAGCCCCGATCAGCCCCCCGCAAGCCCCGATGCGCAAATGCCGCCTCTTCTCTCGTGTTTGGCCTGGCGGCTGTTTTCATATACGAAGATGCGACTGATCTGTCGACACGTTCAACTCAATCAATGGTGGTGCTGTCGCTGGCCGCCGAGCCTTGCACTTCATCGACTCGAGTTGGTGGTCTTCTTCATCGGCCGTGGTCCCTCCCGCCCACAGCCACGGCAGATATCCAGGACAACAGCCGACGGTTATTGTTGTTGGGTAGCAGGCGCTTCGCAGGCCCGGTCTCTGCCTCCGCGACCAGGGTCTGTCAACTATCACTGTCGATCATCCGCCGTACCCACCCAGCCTGGCGATTCTGGCGCATTGATGGCCAGCACTTACGTACATGTAGAGACGCACTGCTCCAGCACAACCGCACAAGTGTCTGCCAAGGTGTACATCGGAGCCCGATAATCGACTGTTGTGCATCACCACTTGACTTACTCTCTCCATCATTTTCCTCGCTGCCACTCACTCTTCTCAGAACCAACCTCAACGCCCGACAGCGCACACACAATGAATGACTGGACCACGTAGTCGGCACTGCCCCCCCAGCGGCGCACTCGTGAAGGTCATACATGTACAGTAGCGGCGCCAATTGACGGCGACTTCGTACCTCAGCCCTAGCTATAGACCTTGATCCCGACAATATGACGGGCACTGGTTCTGCCATTGGATGTTGTCGGTTGATAAACTCTTTACCAGGTCTTGTCAGCTCGATCCACCTGGAATTAGGTTTCCCTCGCAACGTCCCCTCTCACCCCACAGCTTCGATCGGGCTGGGTCACGTTGTGAGGTACGCCGACAATCGCAGTATTATGCTCAGGGCCTGGTCTTCATCATGCCACCACCGACAAGGATGTGCATCCTAGTACGCGCATGCTGACTTGCGCGTACTGCACGATACCCCCATGATGCTGGGTTCCTCTTCGCAGCAGTTTTCCTTGGATAGCCTTTGCCTCTATTTTTCTCCCTCTCCAGCCAGGCCTCAATCAAGCATGTCCATCTCAAGTTTGGTGGTATCTTTGAAATAGAGGCTGTATCCTTTTGCTTCCATTCATTTGTCGGGACTGAATGTCCACCATGTCAATGAGGTCAAGGCAGGCTGTCCTGCCAAGCTCCTAGATGCGATCGCATCCATGGGTCTTTGTTTGCACAAATCCACACTCGCCACCCTGGGGGTTTAAAAAAAAAAAAAAAAAAATTTTTCCTCGTTTTTTTTTTTTTTTATGATAACTATAGTTGAAGGGGGGGGAGGAGAGGCTTCCAACCGGGGGTTGTTTGTTTTTTCTT